GAAGATCCCATCTTGGCTTCGTACCGATTGATTACAACCAAAAAAGACTACAAGTTAAGGTGGACCGTGATATATTGCATTGCTATCCATGCCGTGGTTGCAATTGAAGTGATAGAGCTCATGGATGGGTGCGCAATCTACAAGGCTTTGGATTGGACATAACAATTTCAAGAAGCAAAGTCTGGCTGAAGACTTATAATTTAGCGCTTCTCGGGAGGCAACCCGAGCTTTACTGTTTTTCATATTTTTCTTTAATTTTATGTTTTATTTTTATTTTCATAGGCATGCATTCTAATTAATTTATTTGATTTCTTATTTTTAAGGTCGGAATTGCGATCGGGACAGTCATCCGAGAGACATAGAGGGCATCTTCGCAAGAGGAAAATCAGATTTCTTTCCCACAAATTCTCACACCCCGAAGACAACGATTCCGACTAAATCAGGTGTTTTCTATCCTTATACTTTGTGCTAATTTCGTTGAGGGCAACGAAAATTTTAAGTTTGGGGGTGAAAAAAACATGTTTTTTTGTGCTCATTTGTTTTAGTTTGCATGCATTAGGTTTTATTTATTTTTATCGTTTTTTTTCCGGAATAAAAAAAAAAAAAAAAAAAAAATTGCTTGAGTCGAATGCATCGATGAGTTATAATGATGAGAGATGATCAATGTTTAATGATGAGATTGCTTGTTTTGTTTTGATAAGGATTAGATATTTGTTTAGCTTTTGATTCAACGGAACGTATAAGCGAATTATTGCTAGGAATCACACCTTGTGCATTGCTTTGGTTGAATGTTTTGTATTTTAAATTTGGAATTTATTTGTGCTAAATCATGCTTTGTTCGGTTTTAAAACTCACCTTAGGAAATTTATGATACGAAGTATTGAGTAGTGAGTGATTTGGGATATGATTTGGGCCTTCTTTGAACCGTTTGAGCCTTTCAAGCCGACCTTTTTATCGAAATTATCATTAGAACCTTGATTTGAGCCTCGGAGAAAAGGTGTTCTTTCTTTTAGCCAATGTGTATAAGGTAGAAAAGTGGAGATTTTTGAAAAATTAACCCTTGGAGTTCGGTCGAAAAATTTTATAAGGTCCTTCTTCTTCGAAAAAAAAAAGACAAATATATATGCTTCTATATATATAAAAAAAAAGAAAAAAAGAAAAAAAAAGAAAAAAAAAAAAGAGAAAAAGAAAAGAAAAAGAAGAAGAATAAGAGACTAGAAGGGAGAATTAAGGACTAGTTGTTGAATTATTTTGAAAGCTCGATCCATTGTCTTAAGAGCAAAAGTGGAGACTTTTGAACTCTTAAGAATGAGTTTCTTAAAGTCCTTAGAGGTGAATTCATTGTTTCAAACGCCTATCTTTCAAATTTTGGCGTAATCACCTCAATTCAAGAATAATAGCCACATATACCCATATTTCCTACCCCGAACCAAATAGCCTAACAATTGAAAGCCAAAAAGCCCCAATGATCCCAATAGCTTAATGTTCGATATTAGTAGAGTATAATATTTTGGTGAGTATTTGGAGTCAAACATATACATGTAAGCATAACTTTTTTCTATCTTTAATTTACAAATATTGGATGCTTGAAGCAATTGCATGATTTGTAATTTTTGGCTATGGTAAGTGACTAAGTGCTTTTGAATTTTGAGCTTGCGAATGACTAAGAATTTTCATTATAATTACAAGTTCTGAAAACGTGAAGTTGGTCATTAGTCTATGTGATGAGATGCGGTAGTTGAGTTTTTTTGCTTACGATTAGATTTTGCTTGAGGACAAGCAAAAGTTCAAGTTTGGGGGTGTGTTGAGTGTAGATATTACACTCAATACGTTTACTTTACGTGGATCTTTTGTTTAGATTTAATTATATTTATGCTTTAATTGATTGATTTTGTGTTTTATAGGTGAAAAACGAGAATTAGGTGTCCATGAAGGAAAAAAGATCAAAAAGAAAGGAAAAAAGTTGCAAATAAGGAAACAAATCAAATTGGAAGAAGGAATCCCGCCACAGCTTTGACAGTGTCCACTATTTCAAGCATATCTCTCTCATACGAACTCCGAATTAGGTGATTTTGACGGCATTGGAAAGCTAATTTCAAGGGCTACAATTCTTATTTACACAATATTCCAAAATTCGGACTCCAACATGGAACAAATCGACGAACAAATCCTGGTGGGGGAAAGTGACGGAAATTGATTCCTATTAGGTTTCCACTACTTCCTTATCAAGAAAAGCCTATAAAAGCAACAAGTCTATACACCATAAGCACGAAATTTTACACCACAAACCGCGAAGAACGAAGATCAACGAAGACTCAAGCATAGTTTTTCTTATTTATTTTATTTATTCTATTTTGCTTATCATAAGAATTACGAGTAGCTAAGTTTTTAATTTAGGATTTTGTTGGAACCCTATGTGGGGATGGTGAACCCGTTTTCTTGAGATTATGCAATTATGATTTTATGATTATTTCTTCTACTTGTTATGATTGTTAGTGCATGAACTTGATCAATTTATGTGCTTTATCTGTGATTATTGGGATTGACTCGACAGAGCTATTTTGATAATTAGACGGTAAGTAAAAGAACCTTCGAGTAGTTTTCACCGGATGAGTGTGTTAATTGCATGCGGTATCGTAGACATACAGATATTCACCTTAGGTAATCATTGTTGGGACTTATTCTTTAATGCTTTATTCATGATCGGATTGCATAGACATATAGTAATTTGGTTTTGGATAATAGAATTATAATACATGCGACAGCGGGTTATAATTAATATAGTGTCTCAGGTTAATAATCATGAATCATATATTTCATAATTGAGGGGTTTTGGGTGAGCAATTCTTGCATAGGGGGGAGATAAAATCCTAGGTCCTTTTTTATTGATATTTTCTCGTATTTATTTGCTTTCTTAATTAGTTTAATTTATTTAGTTGATTAAATTTGACAATCTTGCGTAGGCTGGATAAAAATCATAGTTGTTAGAATTTGGTACTTAGGATTAGATAATTTGAGTATTCCCTGTGGGATCGACATCCGACTCTCACGAGTCCACTTTTACTACTTGTTTGCGATACGTGCACTTGCGTGTTAGGTATTTAGCAGCCCAACAACATCCACCAGAAGTGATATCGTCGTTGGCCGCCGCCGTCGCCGTCGCCGTCACTGTTCTAATCTAGGGTTACTCAAATCTAGGATTACTCAAATCTAGGGTTTTGATAATTCTTCGGCCCATAGTTGATTAACGAGATGCATAGTCGAATTACATCTGTATTAATATACTATCCCATATCATTTAATAGACTATCCCACTGGTATAATTTTACTATGGATCTCGTTAATCGACTATGGGCCGAAGAATCATCAAAACCCTAGATTTGAGAAGTGACGGCGGCGGATTTGTGTTTTAAAATTAATAGACTATCTCATTTCTTTTAATAGACTATCCCATGTATCTAATTCGACTATGGGTTTAGTTAATTGACTATTGGAAAAATAATAATATATATGGAAACTGAATAATATGTTTGTTTGAAATACTAATCAATTAGGGTAATTTTCTTTATTATATGAAAACGATTAAGGTAAATAATAATATATATGAAAAAATAATAATATATATGGAAACTGAATAATATGTTTGTTTGAAATACTAATCAATTAGGGTAATTTTCCTTATATCATGTAATAGACTATCTTATTGATCTAATTCGACTATGGATCTCGTTAATCGACTATGGATCCCGTATTATTCAACCACATAGTATATTAATAATTTCAATATAGTACATTGATCTGCTATGATAGTATATTACGATTATAGTAGTGATATGAATTGTGTTACAAACAATATACCACTGAAATGACAAGAACATTGAGAACAACACCAACGTAAAGTATTCCAACATAACCAATAAAATAGTACATTAATAATCTCATAATTTCAATCTAGGGTTTTGATAAAATACATAAAAGACATCATAACACAATCAAACCAATATGTCGAGTTAAAACTCTAGTACATTAATAATCTCATAATAGTATAATAAAATGATAATGGTAGTATCATACGGTATTCATAATAGTATACTACTTTATTACAACGGTTTAAAACTTAACCAAAGTTACCGAGCCATTACATCGTAAACACCTCTTTATAGCAACCAACCCACCAAACCTCAACAAAATCCGTACGAAATTCGCCATCGAAAAAACCTAAAATCATGAAACAAAATTAAAAATGCAGAATACTAAAAAATGATTAAATAGACTGCAAAAACATTTGAATGACAATACATTAATATCATCAAAAATAAACTTAAAATGCAAAATCCATACGCTAATTTAAAAAAGACTACGAACTATATTTTAATGTACTACCCAGCACACTTAAATCGGCTGTTATAAACAAATAAACCAACTATCGATCGGGATCAAAAACATGAACTCGACCACAGCGGACAATTATTCCGATTATTGCACAAACCAACTACGAAACTCATATAAAACAACTCTGGTCCGATCTGCGTGAACCATCCTCTTCTAACTCTGTCAATCCTCTTCCAAACAAACATCATCCGCCAAAAATAACGATGTATATATTAATATGATACGACATTAAAAATGCAGAATACTAAAAAATATATTAATATGATAAAAAATAAACTTAAAATGCAAAATTCATACGATAACTTAAAAAATACTACGAAATATATTTTAATGTACTACCCAGCGTCCTAAAATCCGCTGTTATAAACAAATAAACCAACTATCGACCGGGATCAGACTCATGAACTCCACGACAGCGGACAGTTATTTCAATTAATGCGTAAACCAACTACGATGTTCATATAAAACAACTCTGGTCCGATATGCGTGAACCATCCTCATCTAACTCTGTCAATCCTCTTCCAAACAAACATCATCCGCCAAAAATAACGATGTAAGAAAAAAAAAATGAATTTTAGGAAAGATTACATATTAGTAATATGATATTACTAATGGTATGGTTAGTCTTTTAACCATGGTCGGAAACAAGACTATTGTTGGAAACAAGTGAAGGAAAAAAGAACTGCAAAGATTTCTCACCATTTGCAATTTGCTGAACAACTCCCTCTCTCTCTCTCTCTCTCTCTCTCTCTCTCTCTCTCTCTCTCTCTCTCTCTAAAAAAAACTAACATTCCCAAAGAAAACAATGGCGGCAGAAGCTGTGGGTGGAGTTGCCATTCAATTTCTGCTAGAGAAGCTGATATCAGTTTCTGCGGAGCAGATCAACCTCTATCGAGATTTCAAGAAAGACTTGCAAAGGCTAAAAAGTTCTTTAACCATGATTCAAAGTTTCTTGAACGATGCGGAGAAGAAGCAAATCACCGACGAAGCTGTCGAACGCTGGCTGCATAAGCTTGAAGGTGTGGCTTTCGATGCCGATAATGTCTTGGATGAGCTCCACTATCAACATCTCTCCAAGGAAATTCACAACCAGGACAAAATGAAGAAGAAGAACAAGTGCCATTTTTTCTTCCCAATACGCATCGCCTAAAAATGGCACGTAAAATCAAGGATGTCCTTCAAAACTTGGAAGCGATCAACAAGGAGGCGACCGACTATGGCCTTCAAAAAGCAGTGGTGGGTGCATATGCTCCGGTTACTGGATCATCTGCAGGTTGGGAAACTGATGCATTCAATATCGATCCGATTTTTCTTGGAAGAGAAGGTGACGTGTCTGAAATAGTGAAGACGATGACTACTCTTCCAAATGATCAAGTACTCTCTATCCTCCCCATTGTCGGGATGGGAGGACTCGGAAAAACAACGGTAGCTCGGAACGTGCTCGATCATGAAGCCATAAAGGCTCATTTTGCTAAGCGTTTTTGGGTTCATGTCTCTCAAAACTTCGATGCCAAGATTCTTTTCAATAAGATTCTTACAACGTTAACAGGAACAAACGCCGCACTTGGAGATAAACAAGCAGTTCTGGAAAAGCTTCAAAAGGAGTTGGGAGCTCATAGATTTCTACTTGTTCTCGATGATGTTTGGAATGAAAATCATGAAATATGGGGTGATTTTATCAATCCGTTGAGAAAAATTACTTCTGCTACGGGAAATGGCATCGTTGTTACTACGCGAAGTGAAAATGTTGCTTCACTGGTAAAAACATTCCCTACTATGCACAAGCTAAATAACTTGTCAGAAGATGAGTGTTGGTCCATAATCAAAGCAAAATCCTTTGGAGAAGGTGATATTCCATCAGAATTTGAGAGAATTGGTGTATCTATTGCAAAAAGATGCCAAGGTTTGCCATTGGCGGCCAAAGTGGTTGGGGGATTGTTGCGCGATAAGTCGATTGATGAGTGGATGTCGATTGATGAGAAATGGCTCTCAGATTTAAAAGATGAAAATCCAGTCTCCAAGATTTTGAAACTGAGTTTTGATCATTTGTCGCCACCATCACTCAAAAAGTGCTTTGCATATTGTTCGATATATCCTAAAGGATATTTCTTGGAAAGGGAACGCTTGGTCGAGCTTTGGATGGCAGAAGGATTTCTTGGAGGAAATGATGATATGGAGATTTTGGGCAACAAATTCTTTAATCGACTTTTAGAGAACTCCTTGTTGTTACAAGTTGCAAAGATAAGTAGTCGATATAACATGCATGATCTTGTGCATGATCTAGCATCCTCTGTTTTAAATTCAAGCGACCAAGTTCGGTACATGGGCTGGCAATCGTGTGCAAGCCTAAATGAGCAAGCAACTTGGCTTCGTTCCTTACTGTCGAATGATAAAATATGCATTCTCATGTTCTCGAAGTTCAAATCGCTGCATGTTTTAATTCTGATGGGCAATTGTGTTGGAGAGTTGCCAAGTTCGATCAACGAGTTAATACATTTGAGATGTCTTGATGTCTCGGACACAAAACTTAAATGTTTGCCGGACTCTGTTGGTGAACTTTATCACTTGCAGACATTAAGAGCAGGTAAATATGGTTTGAAGAAGCTGCCAAATACATTGAAGAACTTGATTGGCTTAAGACATCTCCACATTCCTCGAAATGAATTACCTCCAGAGATGGGAAGATTAACTTCTCTTCGAACACTGCCGTACTTTGGAGTCGGCGATGAAAAGGGTTGTAGAATTACTGAGCTCGAATGCTTGAAGAACCTGGAAGGAAAGCTGGAGATTTTTAATCTTGAGAAGGTGCGTGACAAAGAAGAGGCTACGAGAGCAGATTTATTACGAAAGCCAAACCTAGTTGAGTTAGTGCTTAAGTGGAGTAGAGAAGCTGGAAATGGCAATGAGAGTGTGTTGGAAGGCCTCCAACCCCACCCAAATTTAGAGAGCTTAAAAATTTGTGGATTTGGAGGAAGAAGTTTGCCATCATGGTGTTCAAATATGTCGGGGCTTAATAAATTGATGGAGATAAGACTTGAAAGATGCAAAGAATGTGAACAAGTCCCAATGCTAGGGCACTTGCCACATTTGAAGAATCTATATCTGGATGGTCTAGTGAATGTGAAATCCATAGGTTCCTCGTTTTACTTGAAAGGCTGGAGTTGAGGAGAATGCCAGAGCTGACGGAGTGGTTAGAAGCTGAATTGCCAAGTGCAGCACCTGAAAATGATCAACGACTTGTTGTATTTCCTCGTCTCGTGTACTTGCAGATTAAATATTGTAGGAAATTGAAGAGTGCTCCGAGTCACTTTCCATGCCTTAAAGAATTGGAGATTGGTGAGGTGGAGAGCGAATTACCTTTGGCAAGTATATGTGGGATCAACTTAATCTCTGTTACAAAGCTCCAAATTGAGTTAATTGATGGATTGACGTGTCTCCCAGATTGGCTTTTCCTTAAAAATCAAAATCTCTCGAAGTTGGAGATAACGGACTGTCGTAACTTAACGCATCTAGTTCCGTGCTTGGAAGGTGGAGGAACAGCTCTTAGGAATTTGGAGATACGGAAATGTCCGGAATTGAGAGAATTACCAGATGATCTACACACCCTCAGTGCTCTCGAGAAGTTGGCGATTTACGGATGCTCAAAACTGAAGACAATACCATATCCACATGAAACACATAATGATGATGTTGATGAGCAATTATTGTTAGGCTTGAGTTGCCTTCGTCGATTGAGTATTGAACACTGCGATGAGCTGACCAATTTGCCGATTGAGTTATGTGTGGAGTCCTTGGAGAGTTTGACACTGAGTGGATTAATGAATTTAAGGATGAACATGGGAACGTTGATTGGGTATTGTATGCAGAAAATGCCTCGTCTCTCTGAGTTGATGATTGTTGATGTTCCAACCACTAATAATCCATGGGAGATTGTTGGTTCTTTTTCTCCTTGCAACTTAATAGATTTATCAATCAGTTGTGATGAGTACTCAGTTTCAGTTGTTGATGCCATCTTGAAAGCAACAACCAAATCTCTTTATGGATTAGCATTGCACGGGACAGAGCGTAGTCGTGAACTACCGGGGCAGCTTCAACATCTCACTGCTCTTTCTCGGCTACGGTTATATGATTTTGGAGAGATGGAAGAATTGCCTGATTGGGTAATTGGGAACAATAACAATGACAACAACAACTTGTCCTCATCTATGCATATGTTATCTTTATACGGCTGCAAGAAGTTGCGATATCTGCCGTCTAAGGAAGCCATGCTACGTCTCATCACCTTAAACATCTCGGATTGTCCGATGTTAGATATAAAAGGTGGAGATAGCGATTATGGTTCTGAGTGGCCCCAGATATCCCATATCCCCAGAGTCTATGTGGATGGGAATCAAATTCCAACTCATGCTCAGTAAATGTAACTATACTTATTACTGTTTTATTTGATTTACCAGATTATATTCTTTTTTTTTCCTTTTCTTTTTCTATTGTATTTATTTTTCTTTTTGTTCCTGCAGCATCAAAATTTAATTTGTTGCTTAAATAGAATAGGATGCTCAAGGCACACAAATATATAAATCTATTTCAAATTTATTTCGATACATATTGATTTTATTTTTATTTCATAGATTTAATTAGACACCCCTCCCGCAAAGTTTTAATTTAGGATTCGGTGCCAAACCAACATAATATTTCTTCTTCTTCTTTCTTGGATTTACCACATTTTATTTGGTTTACATATTCATTGATCTTCTTTTTTACTATTTTCTTTATAAATGTGGTCATTTTGTTATTTCTCATTTTTTTGATGAGTTATTAATCGAAATTGAGCATTTTTGTTGCATATTGCCCCTTCAAATATTATTTTTGTTGCACGTTGCCTCCTAAAAATGTTATTTTTATTGCTACGTTGCCGAAACCGAAACTCGTAGCCATTCTAATATTGATTTAGCTTTCCGCATTAAGCAAAGAATCCTATCGAACACGACGTAAATCTAATTCAACTTATTATATCTATCATAATAAATTTGAATTTGAAAAAGAACCAATCCACTTTAATTTCTCTAGATCCCGTTCGATCAGAAAAGAAGAAAAAAACCCCAGAAAATAGCTTGTCACATCCATTATATACGGGAAATACGGTGTTCGTAGAAGATAACAAACAGCGAAATACGGTGTTCGTAGAATAATCCAGAAAATTGAATTATTAATAAAAATTGTATCAGATGTTAAAATACATTATACATGCATACATTTCATCAACATAGCAGATTTAAGGTAGAGATTCACATCTAGCAACAACTTTAAGAGGAAATTTTCTATGAATAGTAAGTCCATCACCTTCACGCATATCCAAATCTTCTCCACTCGCGCCACCTGGCAATTCAAATTCGAAACTTAAAACAACATTCGCAAGAACAAGCTCCACCGAATTACGTAAAAATCTCTCCGGATTTTCCCACAAAATTGGATCTCTCTCACAATAGCCCACACGTTTAAAACCAATCGTGTGCCTTTCGGTTGACTCTCGAGGAATGAGTAGTGTGTATGTTGTGTCGATTCCAGCAGCAAACATGTCATGTTATAGATTATTATTAAAATTGTGATCATCTTGATGAGATAGAATACTTTAAATCGAATCATTTTCGAGTTTAATTTGCAGTCTCTCGTCATACAAAAGCATGAAGATTTCAATTGAGTCTATAAATTGAACCTCTTATTATTATTTTCTAACTACAGTTAAACCTCTATAAATTAACACAGAGTCCGGACTAGCAAAATTCTATTAATTTAGCCAACTATTAAATTATCGAGTTAATACTTTAGTACATTTTTGCCGACTCGGGCCGAAAGAAATTATTATTTACGCGAGGTTATTAATTTATCGAGGTTCTTATGTATATTGCATTTGCTACAAACACAGAAAAGAAAGAAACTAAAAAAATAATATTAAAGGCAAATTACGGCAACCCCCTTTAGCTAAGGTCAAACTACGAAAAAATCCTTCAAGTCGGTATATTTAAGGGCATTCATTCGGTAAAATTGTACTGCAACTTCGGTACGCCAAAATTTCATACCGCTTACCATTCGGTTCGGTAAATAACCGAATTACCAAAATTTTAT